TTCCCGCCCCCCGCGCCCGGACGCCAGAACCCCCCGACCGCCTGCGCCTCGGCGCCGGTCATCCGTCGCCCCGCGGCAGTAGACGCGATGGAGCCGGGTGGCCCCCCAGTCGCAGATCGGCGACGGAGACGCTGTCGTTGGCTTTCTCAGGGTCCCTCCTCGGCGCCCCGAACAATTCCGTGCCGGTAGCCATGGTAGACCCAACCTTTGAAAACCCAGTAGGTCAGATCTGTGCATCCACTGGCAGGAAGGTGGGCAAGAAGGTGGGTAGACAGCACGGGCTCACAATACCTCCCTCCCCCGCCGCCATCACAGACAAGTTAATCCACGGGCCTCCTCGGGACCCTTGTCCTGCACACACTGATTCACCCATATCTCTAGACCTTAGGAGGCTCAAGAGGGACATACTGCATGCATGGGCTGTAGTTCCGGGAGTTTTGGCTGAGATCCCAACCTGACGAAAGCCTCGATGTCCACGGAAGCATCAGGTGGGAAAGAGGAGCTGGAAGTAGGCACTTGGGACAGGGAGCTGAGGGTAGCTACTTGAAGAATTCCTCCTTTCCCCAAATGACGCTTGATATTCCAGTGGGATGGCCTATACCCAGACTATGGTATAAAAGCTTAAAGTTTAAGAAAAAGCAGTGGAAGGCAGTTCAATAGAAGAGCCACGGCTGGAGTTGGCCTAAGACAGCCTGCTGTACAATGCTCTGTTTCCCCTACCCCCATCAGTGCCGCTGGGATGCTGAGTTAGAGGTGCTAAGGCCCCTGAGCAGCACTGGGTACATAACAGAAACTGCTTTTGCAGCAAAGCACTGACTCCTTACTTGGGCACATGAATGAACTAAAAGAAGGAGAGATGCTTGGCATCTCAATTTGTTTTGTGTCTGTCTTTCCTCTGAGCCATTCACCTTGTGGCCACATTAGAATTCAGGAAAAATGACTTTTGGGTAAAGTCTTTACAAGAAAGGATGGGGGCTGGGAAGGTAGCTCAGTGGTAGAGCGCTTGCCTTGCATGCCGGAGACCCTGGGTTCGATTCCTCAGCACCACATAAGCACAAAGAAAAAAAAAAAAAAAGAAAGGATGGAGGACAGGGAATGTGGCTTAGAGGTACAGTGCATGCCTAGCATGCATGAAGTTCTAGATTCGATTCCTCAGTACCACAAAAACAGAAAAACCCAGAAGTAGTGTTGTGGCTCAAGTGGTAGAAGCTAGCTTTGAGCAAAAGAAGCTCAAGGACAGTGTCCAAGGCCCTGAGTTCAAGCCCCAGGACTGGCAAAAGAAAAAAGGATGGAAAAAACTGCCCCCAAGGAAAGTAACAGCAAAGCCTCCTCTGAACAAATTATTCTAGGCAACACTTGCTTATCCTGACAAGATTGCTTACTTCAAGTGATAACTTCTTTGGAACCCCATGATCAACCTGGC